TGAAACAGACGTGTGCTTGTTCTTTGGGAACTGGTGAGGAGAGCAGGGTGGCTGGGCCCCAGGGGCAAAGAGGGGGGAAGTAGATAATGAAGAGAGAGGTAAGGAAGACCTGAGGACCTTGTAATCACAGCAAAGATATTGACTTCTGCTCTGAGAAAGATGATGGGCACCCCCTTCAGGGCTTTGAGCAGAGGCCTGATGAGCATATTTGTACATTAACAGGATTGCTCTAGATGCTCTGGTGAGAATAGCCTATGAAAGATCACACTAGAAAGAGAGTAGTTAGGAGGATGTTGAAATAGTCTGGATGAGAAATGTTGGTCGATTGGGTGAGGATGGTAATGATGGAATCGGTGGGGAGTGAAAGAAAGGGTTAGACTCAAGATATATTCTGAAGAGTGGAGCATAAAACTATGTCAAAAGCCCATGGGACATAAGGTATGAGAAAAAGACATCAAGGAGGAAGCCACGGTGTTCTGGCAGAGCGCCTGGAAGTATAGGACGGCCAATGCTCAAGTTGGGAAGAGTCACAGAAGGAGCAGATCAAGGAGAGATTGTGAGTTCACTGTTAGAGGTACAGATCATCAAATGGAGGAGTCTGGAACGGCAGGCAGAAGACCAGGCTGGGGATATAAATTTAGAAACTGGTCTGCATTGACATAGTATACTAGATTCAGCAGTGTCTCCCCTAAATTTGTATCCACCTGGAACCTCAGAATATAAACTTATTTGGAAAAAGGGTCATAAGAGATGTAATTAGTTAAGATGAGGTCATGCTGGACTAGAGTGGGCCTTGAATCTAATCACTGGTGTCCTTTTAAGAAAAGAAAGATATGGACACAGAGACTTAGAGATACAGAGACACAGAAAGGGAAGAAGGCCACATAGCATGACAGTAGAGGCAGAGACGGGAATGATTTAGCGACAAGCCAAGGAACACCAAGCATTGCCGGGAGCTACCAGAAACTAGGAAGAGACAAAGGAATACTTTCCCCTAGAGCATTTAGTAGAGACACGGACCAGCTGACACTTGGATTTCAAACCTCTAGCATCCAGAACTGTGTAGTGCAGCAACCCTACGACACCAGAAAAGATGGTGTTTGGAGCCATAATGCTGGATGAGATCGTCAAGTCAATGAGTGTTGACAGAGAAAAGAAGTCCACAGACTAAGCCACTTCTCTGTTCACATCGGCTCCTCCATCTTCTTGACCAGACACACCTTTGGGGCCAACGTGGTGTCATGGAAGAACACCATTAAAGTTCTGGGTCTGCATTCCTCATTTCATTATGGATATCATTATTATTGTTTATGATGATTATGTTTTCCTTTAGAGCATTTTATTTCCCTGAAATGATGTTTTCCAATCTGAGAATTTGATTTAAAAAATGTCTTTAGGAATAGATTGAAAGCCTAATTACATGGTCGCCATATAAGCAGGCGAGTATGACCTTGCTTTTGCCTACTTCAACTGGATTCTGAACTCCTTCAATATAGAATTGTAACGTTATAACTGTATGTTAATTAGCATCTGACACACAGTAGCCATCAAACAACGGTTCATTTATAATTTTGGTGAATGGTAATAGCGTTCTTCAGACCGGCTATTTTATTTAACAGATGTCTTCTGGAGACTTCAGATAAGAGGTTCGTGTTATTTGCTGTAGACACAAAGATGAATAAGCAGCTGTTTCTCCTAGAGAAGCTTAAATTCAAGGAGAAAGACAAATGAAGCCTGATAAATTGAGCACGATGAGCACAGTGACAATATAGTTGAAAGAAAGATAATATTGGCCTTACCTGACCTGGGCCACATCAGCTGGGTCTTAATGAATGAAGAGGGTCTTGCTATACAGATAAGGAGGCAGGGGAATTTCCAGGGGAAGAAATAAAAGACACACAGGCAAGGAGGAGCATTATTTAAAGGGATGCTGATGGTTCAGGTGTGTTAAGTTATGAAAAATATGTATATGATAAAGTTGGAAAGGTAACAAAAGGTCCTTGCATGTCGGGCTTAGAAGTGGAAATGTATAATGCAAAATTAGGGAGACTTGGTCTTTTTTAAAGCACTAAAATCATATGGCTGAGTAAGTATATGTTATAATTCTCACCCTAGTGACAGTATTGAGACAGATTAGTGTCGGAAAACTGGAAAAGTGGGAACAAGGAAAACAAAACAAAATAAAATGATGTTTTGAAAAAACTAAAGTGGGAGAATCTTTATCCTAAGGCTCACCTCAAGGCGCTGAGCTAGATAGCTTTTGGACTTTCCAGTTGTGAGTTTCAACTCCATAAATTTCACAATCTCATGAGTAGGTGATGGTCAAGAATAACATAAAGAGTAAAATGGCTAAAAGGAACATAGTTGTCCTTTGTTGAATATTGGAGCAGTCTTGACTATAGGCTTATCAGAGACACCCAGGGAGAAGGTCATGTGAAGAAGAAGGGGATTGGAGCTAAGCACCTACAAGCCAGGGAATGACAAGGAATGCAGGCATCCACCAGAAGACAAAAAGAAACATGGAAGAATCCTAGCCTAGAGCCTTTGAGAGACTATTTCAGACTTCTAGCCTTTGGAATTGGAAACAATAAATTAATGTTTTAAAAAGAAAGAAAGTCAGTACTATTTACAGTAACCAAGACATAGAAACAACCTAAATGTCCATTGACAGATGACTGGATAAAGAAGTTGTGGTATATTGATACGATGGAATACTACTCAGCCATAAAAAATAATAAAAGAATGCTATTTGCCACAACATGGATGGACCTGGAGATCATCATTCTAAGTGAAAAATAAGTTAGACAGAGAAAGAAAAATACCATATGATATTACTTAGATGTGGAATCCATCCCCCCCAAAAAAAAACAAATGAACTGATTTACAAAACAGAAACAGACTCATAGACATAGAAAACAAACTTATGGTTACCAGGGAGGGAAGGGGTGGGAAGGAATAAATTGAGAGTTCGAGATTTGCAGATACAAACAACTATATATAAAACAGATAAAAAAAACCAAGGTCCTACTGTATAGCACAGGGGACTATATTCAATATCTTGTAGTAACCTATAGAGAAAAAGAATATGAAAAGGAATATATGTCTGTATATTTATGACTGAAACATTATATGCTGTACACCAGAAATTGATACAACATTGTAAACTGACTTAGTTCAATTTTTTATAAAAGGAAGGGAGAAGGAAGGGACAGAGGGAAGGAAAAAAGGAGAGAAGAATTAGACAAGTAAATAAACAACACAACCCAGTCCGTGTTAGGATTGAAGCGAGCACAGGACTAGTAGGAGCCGAAGAGGGCACCTTGCAGAAGCCAGATAAGGCTTCCTGGAAGAGATAATCATGCTTAATTTTGGAGTCTGTGTGGGAACAAGCTTAATGGGCAAGTTTGGAGTGGAAGACCATTCTGGCTGAGATGAACACATGGGACCATTGTGTTCCATGGAAAACCATGCTCTTCAGATCTAACAAGACTTAGTTTCTTAATCTGAGTCCATCGTTTGCTACAAATGATGAAAAGTTACTCACCTCCCCACAGCTCTGTTTCTTCACCCGTAAAACAGAGGAAGGGAAAAAAAATGTTGTAGACGAAAGAGGAGTCACAAGGAGGAACTCAAGCAGGATATAAGCCAAGGGGTCGTAACTATCCAGCAAGTAGCAAGGAAGTTTAACAGAATGTGACGACATCTTCTTTGACTTAAAGTAGATTCCTTATCATTGTGTTTAAACACATTCTTTTGTAACTGAGATCTCCCCAACATTTTTAAGTGACATCAATAATATTTGTTCAATTCTAAAAATAATGACATGGATTTTGCCAGAAGACCTTTAAAAAATAAAAGACAAGATAGATCTAGAGTGCTCCAACATTAATAGGATGCATTAAAACTTTAACAGCATACTTCTGTTCACCAAAAGTCATTTGATTGTGTATATATATATATGTCTATTCCAGAAGCGTATTTGGCAAAGCTATGACTGGGGCTGAAGGCATTTTCACATATAATTTCCACACAACAAACATTTTATTTCAGTCCATGTTCACACACACAGAAATGCACGCTCTTTATAATGTAGAAATGTAACATATATTAATAGAAAAAAACACTGAGACCATAGAGGAGAATACATTATAGTACCTTAGATAAATCGTAGTGAGAACCTAGCTGGGACAATTCACCTTTTTGTTTATTAGATTCGTAGATAGCGTCTTCCCTCAGTCAGTTCCCCATCTGTGACGGTCAGGACCAAAAGGAGAGGGCAAATCAGGAAAACCAGGCACAGCTGTACAGAGCTTCCTCCATTTGATGACTCTTGGGTGATGGCCCCATCACCCCAGATTATTTTCCCCTGTCCTGCCTTGCATGACTTCTTGTATTTTCCATTGTGTTCTGAACTTCCCTGAAGGCAGTTAGGGAGAAAGTGAGTTCTAGGAAGTCAAGGGAATTGAAGAGAGTGGAAGAGAACTTCATCTCATTAAAGTTCTCATAATCTAGTTACAAAATATACTTGTGGTTGTTGTCTTTTCCAAACTGGTATTGTGGTTTCTGATCTCACACACACACACATACACACACAGTTTTCAGCTACACTCAGGATTTCCTAGATGGACCTAGATGCTGTAGTAATGGCATATTTGCAATACCATTTAAAAATGTGAATGATGAAGGGGGAGGGTATAGCTCAAGTGACAGAGCACATGCTTAGCATGCACGAGGTCCTGGGTTCAATCCCCGGTACCTCCATTAAAAATAATAATAACTAAATAAACAAACCTAATACCTGTCCCTTCAAAAAAAAATACAGCAGGGTTCAGCAAATGGTAAAAAAAAATAATAAATAAAATTGTTTAATGTGAATGATGAAAGAATTGAGACGTGCGTCCCTAGAGAATAGTCATGATCAATGAAAAGACAATCTGATCCTATGTTTGCATTTTACAGGTCCTGCTTTTAATTCTAATTTCTCATGTTTTTCTTCCAAGGAAGCTTACAAGTTCGTTATCAGCTAAGCAAGGAAAAAACTCATGTATTCACCATCGATACGGAGAACTTTGCCGACAGGAGACTGCACCACTTGAAGATCAGCCGAGAAGGCAGAGGGCTTACCATTCAGGTAACTCACTTCCCTTCTCCTCATTCAACCAAACACATCTTGGCTGCTGAAGAAAACTTTTCTGAACTTTGATGCCCAGCCAAGTGTGGAGCCAAGTTCTGGGGGTGGGTGTGAGCTGCACTCAACCCCGGCCTTTGGAGAACTGGACTAGTGGTCCTCAGAGCGCCTTCCCCTTCCCGCCAGCATCATCATCACCTGGGATCTTGTAAGAAATGCAAATTCTCTTGCCCCACATCAGATCTAGTTAACCAGAAGCTGTTTTGGGGCGAGGGGCAGCAGGTGATCCTGATGCCTGTTCAATTTTGATAACCCATAACTGTGGTATAATGAGGGAGATAAGGAGTGGGGAGGAATCACAAGGGACCGGCAAGGTCTAAGGTAGGAGTGTGCACAGGTGATGTGGGAGCACGGAGGAGGGCACTCTTCTCATCTAGGCATCAGTGCACTTGACCCTTGAACAACCAGGAGAGGAGGTTAGGGGTGCCAGCCCTCTGCACAGTCAAAAGTCTGAGTCGGTATGGATGGCCCTCCCTGAACTCAGTTCTTCTGTATCCACATCTGTGAATTCTAACAATGGAAGATCTTGTACTATTGTAGTATTTTACTGGTGAAAAACTTCTCATATAAGTGGACTTGCATGGTTCAAACCCATATCATTTAAGGGTTAACTGGATTTACGTTCTGGAGGAAGTTAGCAGTAAACTGAGTCTGGAAGGTGAGTAGGAGTTGGTTAGGTGGAGAAGAAAGAGGGCAGTGTTCAGGCAGAGGGTCCGAGTCAGGGTCTGCAAAACTGTCTGAAAGAGTGTAGTGCGTAGAGGGCACGCCAAAGTCCAGTGATCTTGGTTTGAAGAGCAGCAGCAGGTGACGGTGGATCACGGTAGAAAATGGGCAGAGTCTGCATCATCCCCTTTAGAATCAGGACCTTAAGTGAGCTCTCAAATCTACCCAGAAATCACCCTATTTTTTAAAAAAATTCACCCATCCTCCTGATCTCCTAGATGCCAATTTTAACCCTTCTCTTTCTCCTTACACCACCAACAATTCCAATTCCATCTCCACCCTTGACAGATGACTTTGCTTCCTTCTTTCTTGTAAAAAAAAATGCAGCATTCAGGAAAGGAAATCCACACACTCTCAGCACATGTGTCCCCCTGCCTGCATCTCTGTCTGTTGCCCCTCTTTCCCTTCTGTTGCTGAATATGGCTAGTTCGTGGCTCTAGTGAAGACCTGACCCACCACTTGTGGACCAGATCTCAGACATCACTACAGCATTACCAACTCCCTTCCCTTTTTTCCAGCTCTACTAGATGGCTTCCCAAAGCATAATGCATGCAAGTATTACAAGCATTAAAGAAAACCAAAAACCCTGTGTCAGGAGGGAAGGGAAACTTTCCATTTTCTCTTTCAGTTTATTGCTCAAATCCTTGGAAATGTTGTTTATATACTTGGTCTCCAAACTTCCTCTTCCTTTTTTTTTAAACCCACTCGATGAAGAATCTTGTCACTGTGCTACCTCAAAATGACACTTCAGGTGACCTGATCTTGCAGAATCCATGACCTTTTCCTCACTTGTCTTCTCGCTGGCATCTGACTCAGTGGTGCTCTCTGCTTTTGAAGCTGACTGGTGTTTGGCTATGAGGACACCACGCTCACCTTTTCTTCCTCCTGCTTCTGACAGATGCTCATTCTCATCTCTTCTGCTGGTCCTCCCTCATCATCCACTCTCATCTCTGGAGAATCCCAGGACTCTAAATTCCTTTTCTTTTGCATGCACACTCACTCCATGGCGAATCCCATTCAAACTCACATTCTCAAATGTCATGTCTATACTTATGGACCAATCCCAATTGTATATCTAACTGCAGCCCTTTGGCCGAATTCCAGAGCTATGTGGATATCTGCTAGGCATCTCTCGAAGGTAGCGTATTTACAGCTGAGTTACTGAGATTCTTCCCCCACACAACCCCCTTTCCCCATCTCCTTCCACATCTCAGGTCCTGGCAGCTCCACGCTTGCATTTTCTCAGTCTTCAAATTGTGGTGTCATCTCAGAAACCTCTCTTTCTCTCACAGGCAACATCCTGATGGTAACAGCTTCCACTCTGCCCCAAGCCATCCTCATCCTTTCCTTGGATCGTTGCAGTTTGAAGTTTGTCTCTTCATTGACACGTCCCTGCTCATCTTTTTGTTCCCTTTCAGCCTCTTGTCAACAGAGCAGCCAGGGGGATCCTATTAAGACATCAGTCATATTGCAGCATTTTTCTCTCCAAAACCCTTCAGTTGTTGCCACGAAACTGGCCTCTGCATGCCTTGAGACTCGGAGGCAGTTTCGGAAGAATCAGAAAAGAACGGCTTTCTTGCTTTGCCAGGCAAAAGGGAGTCGCAGCAGGCTCATGCCTTAGGGACTGTGAATCCATCTTGGGTTTGGGGTCTTGAGGTTTTATAGAAAAACTGGATGGAACAGAAAATGTGATAGCAATCAGGGCATTTTACAGGCTGCTACATTCCTCTTAACTTCGATGAATCCTCTTGGCATCATAGGGGACCTCCAGAGGGTCTGTCCATTCTTCTGAGGTTATCAGCCTGTCACCTCCTTCCTGGAGCGTAGCCTGTGTGTTAGAGCTATTCCCAGTAAAGAATGTGTACGGAGAGGAGAGCTTAATGGAAAAGTCTGGGAGTTAGAACAAACGCAGTGAGGGAGAAAAGGCAAGTTGCAGGATGTCTTAGTCAGAATGAATCAGCAAACAGTTTTAGCATCAGGGAAACCAGTTTGTAAGTTTGTTTCCTATTCCTTCACAACAGTTTCCTTTCTCAGACAGAGGAAAAGCCAAAGACCTAGCAGCGGCTTCAGAGGATTTCCACGACCCCACACCCGTTGTTCCCCTCCTGCTGTGTCTTCTCTGAGCTCACCCATCACTGTCCCGTCGCTTACACGTCACCCTGGCCTCCTGGCTGTTCCCAGAGCTCTCAAACTTGGTTGAGCTTACTTTGCCTGGAATGCTACTGCCCATATACCTGCACTGCCAGCTGTCCTTGCACATCAGCCAGGACTTCACTGGAAATGTCATCTTCAATGACACCATCTCTGATCACCGTATTTAATACAGCAGCCTTGCTCCTTGACCTCAACTCTAAGGCACTTAAACACTATCTAGCATTCAGTGTAACTTACCTACTTACTGTCTTGTCCCCTCTCCCTGCTCTAGAATGTAAGCTTCACGAGGACAGGGATTTTGGTCTGTTTTCATTCCCACGGAACTCCCACTTTGTCGAGCAGTGCCTAATCTACAGCAGGTTCTTAATAAATACGTGTGAACTAAATGGATGAATTCTACTAGGCTTACTGTTCTGTGTAGAGATCATTAAATTGGCCCTGTGGAGGGGGAGGAGGAAGTATCATGGGGTCAGTTTTCATTTCCAGAGGCGCTATGATCTCTCTGTGGAAATACATACTTGGGAGTGATGAGACATGAGGCAGAGACCAGGCAGGAGGAGAAGAGGAGGGTCCTCATCAGCGCAGTGGGCAGCCGGTGACAGGGGAACTGAGAGAGGTCTGGAAGTAACATCAGTAGCTCCGGGTGACCCTTTGGGTGTGGACTATGGGACAAGTCAAGATTGACCGTTCATTTTCTTGATTGGGTGGAAGTTCCGGAATAATTGGCAAATACACAGCACAAATGGCAATTCCTGAGTGATAATAACTGAGTGGACTTACCTCTAGAATTAACTCTGGAATTTAGGGGTCAAAAAGTCTTCAGAGCAAATTCGGGCTGAAGCCAGATTGGAGGATAAGAGCGATGGAAACGAAGACTTCCTGTTTGAATATGTTTTGCCTGAGGTCTCGCTGGGCCATCGGGGATGCATTCTGGTGGGCATTAGTATAAAAGTCTCCTTTTCTTTTTCTTTATATTTCCTGTCCTCTTTTCCACCAATGAAAGACACAAATAGGGCAGTGAGGGAACAGTAAGGCGTATTCCCTCCTCTTCTGCAGCTAAAGGATTTCTACCAAACAACGAATAGTCCATGATGAGCATATGTTAGGGGAAGACATATGATTTCCAAAGCACTGAAGGAGCAGAAAGACCCAGAGGCTGAGAGTCTAATTGTTTTTTTTCAACTTTAAATCAATTTATTGATGTAGTAACACAACACACTTGTCTCTGTGACACTCCTACCCTCATCCTACTGTTCCTTTTTCCTCCCCACTTAGAACAAGCTGTATAGTAAGGACAGAAAAGGTAAAGCTACTGCTATATGCCCAGTCTCACCCCTCAGCTGGTGCAGGGTCCCCGACCTTTCTCATAACTTGTTAGAAGGAGAGGGCAGATGCTTATGACTAAACTCAGCCAGAGGCATCCAAGTGCTGAGAACGGACCCTCCCAAGGCCTCCAGGCCCTGAGTGGTCATGCCTTCTCCTCTCTGCTCTGTGTGCTGTAGGAAGCAGTCCTTAGGGACCGGGCTGCAGCCCAGAGGACGAACTCCCGGTGACAATCTGAGAATTGTCATTTGCCTAGTGGTTCTGAAGGCTCAAGTCTTCAGGCAACCTAAGGTTTGAAGGAAAATGGTGCTTCACCCCCTTACCCCCTTACCCCCTCATCAAGAGTAATTAAAAATAAAAACAATACTAAAACATAACATAAACATAACAAAATGTAACAAAACAATGAATTTCCCATTGAATACTTCAGAGATTGCCTATCCCCTATCATAAATGTCAATATATTAGAAATAAATATTTGCGGTACCTTCCCCGTTTTGTTGTTGGGGTTTGCCCTGTGCGTTTGCTAAGCTTTTCAAATCGGTGACCCAGCCCCTGGGCCAGTCTAAGTGAAACTCTTGCTCTACATCAGAGCTGGAACCCGTTCCCCAACTATCCAGAGTCACCAGTAGCCTCAAGCCTTCTCTGAGTCACCCTGTCCTCCTTTCCAAACCTTTACAAATACTGATTTTTTAAAAATTAAGTGTCATCGACCTTCTCTCTCCTTCCTTTGTCCTCCGGGT